CCCCAAAACCCCAAAACCCCAAAACCCCTAAAGAAAATATTAAATTAGAAACATCATTTATAAATAAGTTTAGGAATTATTGTTATAATTATAAAAATGAGTTCACTAAGAGACACCTTACTTAAGTTAAAAGAGAAGAAACAAGCTGAACTCTCTGGTAAAACCGCTACTTAGCCTTGGGTGAAAAAGGGAGATTTGGAAAAAGAAAGATAGCATAAATACATGGAGGAACAGAATAAGAGAGAAGAGGAGAAAAAACAGAGACAATAGTAAAAAATAAAAGACATTTAAGAATTCTACTCATCAGCAGTACATACTACTTATCAGCAATAGAAAATCAATGATCAAAATAAAAAGGCACTAGATATCTCTGCATAGCAGGCATAATCTATTGAAGTGGCCGGGGAATTGCCTATTTCAAGAAAGGAAGTAGTTATAAGACTTAGACATCACAATCAGCCAGCTAGCTATTTCGGGGAGACTGACAAATAGCGATACCAAAGACTAATTGAATTCGAGGAGAAATTAGGTGACGGGATTCGAAATGAAGAGGAGGACACAATTAAGTCTTTAATCTCAGATGACTCAGAAGTTGAAAAGCTTTAATTAGAAAGATTCATGGAAAACTTTCAGAATTAAAGCAAGGAAAATAACTCACTCGGCGATCACACTCATGAAGAAGTTAAAGATGAAATAATGTTGAATCCTCTTGTCAAGAAAAGCGATGCGAATAAGGTTGACTAGTACATTGGCAGGTACAAAACAGAAGATGAAATGAGGATAGGAGATAGAAATATTAATGAATTGGTGGAGATTAAGGAGAAAAACAATCAGACATTCAGAAACTATAAGAAGTTTGAGACTTCTTGCAAGAGACATCCTGTAGATGAAAAATGCAATATCATCTATCTCTGGTGCAAGAAGATGCTCAAGGCTTGGGAAACAGACCTGTTTGAGAAGCCTGAAGACTTCCTTAGGAGTGCTGAGGGTAAGCAAGAGATAGGAACTCATAAGCAGTGTGTCAGACACTGTAAACCCTTCTTCAAACAACTTAAAAAGAGATAAATGAATTAGGAAATTATGGATGGAGTATACTTGATAGTGCAATACACTCTTATGAAAGAATATGTAAGGGCTCATGATAAGTATTTGGAACTTGCTATTGGCAATGCTCCCTGGCCTATGGGAGTCACTATGGTTGGTATTCACGAGAGAGCTGGTAGATCTAAGATTTTCTCCAGTCAAGTGGCGCATATTTTGAATGATGAAAATCAGAGGAAGTCACTACAGTCAATTAAAAGGCTTTTAAGTGTCTGCCAAAGATGTTTCCCAACTGATCCCTCGAAATGTGTTAATAATTGAATTTAAATTTAATTTCATAAAACTTAAATAATTATAAATAGAAATGACAACATCTGGCGGAATAATAGGAACAATAAATGCTATCTCGGGAAATGATAAGGGTAGGTCTGTACGTAAATATAGAATTTGCGTTCTTGGCCCATCATTTGTCGGAAAAACTTCAATCATTAATCGCTTTATTAATAACAGTTTCTCCGCATATTATGAACCCACTCTGCATGCTATGATCTACAGAAGAGCTTTTAATATTTTGGAAGACTAAGATGTAGACCCTCAGTATATAGAGCTTGAAATAATTGATGTGTTCCCTCATGATCATCCACTTCTAGACAAGGACCCAGATTTCAATGAACTTTCCAGAGAGATGTCTGTCACTCTTAATGATATTGTTAAGAATAACTTCGGAAATGATGCTGCCAGTAAAATACATGCCTATATGTTCATATACGATGCTAGCAACAAATTCACCTTTGATACTCTTTCGTGTCTGATTGAAACTATTAAGGAAATAGAGAAGTCTGAACGCAGGGGTAAGAAGGCAATGATGTATTCACCCAAGAAAATAGTAATTGGAAATAAAAAGGACTTGAAAAAGAAGAAGTAGATATTAGATAAAAATGACTTGAAAAAACTGGAGGGTATGAGATTTAGAGAAGTGAGTGCACTTACGAATTAAGGAATATATGAAGCGTTTAAGGTTTTGATTGGAGATATACATAGCTGCAATATACTGCATAAGGAATTTTACGATTTGGAAAAGCTAAAGAATAGAGAGTAGGATGAGTTGAAAGACATGGAGGTAGGTATAATTTCATTGAAACTTGTTTTAGGATTATAACGGGAATAGAATGAAAGTCAAATAGTCAAGAGGACTAATGGGAATGCTGCCTTTTGGAGGCTGCTATGGAGTAATAATATGGATTTAAGAATTATAGGCAAGAGATGATGGCTCGGATGAAGAGGAAAAGCAAGACTCAAGTTAAGATGAAACCGAACAAGATGAAAAGTCAAACACGGAGAATTCAAAGGATAAAAAAGATCAGAAAAATGGAAATACTGGAGGAGAAAATGCTTAGAATTAGCAGAGCGAATCTGGTTGCAATATTTTTTGAGAGATCTTAGTAAGTCTCATATATAAATGGTATAAATAGTGTTTTGTTCCTATGGAGTTTAAGGTTATTAAGATTTTATAACTATTAGAGAAATCTTAAGAAATTAATTAAATCATCATTTCATTTGGAAAATATAAATTAAACTCTAAGTCACTAACTCAATCAGTAATCGTTGAAATTCTTTCCAGAGAGGTCTCCTAACTCCTTTTTAATATTTATAATCATCTTCATATCATCCAGAGCTTCACTTGTCTTGCCTAACTAAGTCTTTACTTTCTCCAGATGGAATTTAATCTAATCCGGAGTTTGTATCATACAATATCGAATGCTTCTTTATTTATCATTTAAGCATTCGCTCTGTTCATCAATCAACCTAAGTTACTTCTTCAAATAACTGTAGTAATTACTCCTCTCACTGCTCTATTAGATTTAGTTCCTTTACTACATCATCTATATCTACTGATTCTACTATTACTACTATTATTGCTGTTATTGTAGCTACTATTACTATTACTGCATGTAATAGCTACCTTAAGAATGCTCATTCTGAATAATAAATGGCTTAATAACTTAGAACGTCCCTTGATTATTTGTGCAGCTACTGTTATAATTACTAGTAGCAGTTGTATTGTAACTCTGACTGATACCTCCATTTTGCTATTAACTACTACAGTTATTGATGTAGTTACTCGTATTTTGATATTGATATCCCTGATCAGGCAAGAAGTTGAACAACTGTTTTTAATAGCTTAATTCCTATTGAATTTTCTAAGTTGTCTCTAACAGAGTCTGATACTACTCTTACTATTCCTATTCAATTCGATTGCTATTTATATCTTGGCTTGAGTTAATTAGCTCGTTCACAGTTTGCTTGACTAGCTTATCATTTTTATGCTACTCAGAAATTATTTTCTAAATGTAGGCAGTGTACCAGTTCTTGTCCTTGAGGATCTCCCTCATCTCATCCTCTTCTTGCCTCAGCTTACTGTCCAGGTCTTGCATAATTTTTCTATCTTAGTCCAATTATTAAAGCTTTGCCAGATCAAGTGACTCATCGGATTCATTAATCTCTCCTTCCTCTATTTTTCGTTGAAGCTCTCTTTCATACATCCTCTTTTGGCGCATTCTCTCCTTCTCAGCAAGGATACTGCTCTTTCTTCTGCGCCCTCTGCCTCTTTTCTTTGGTATCACCTGGCCATTTTCATCGAACTTCTCACCCATATACTCTTCTATTAGTCTCTTGACGAGATTGTTTGATTTCTATAACTTAGTTATGTCACCTCCAACTGAAGCTCCTCCAGCATCTGTAGATTATTTCTGATCTTCACTCTTATGTTTTGAGTCTATATCTTCTGGGTTCCGTATTTCTCTCTTTATTAGTCTAAACTAATGAATCCTTTCACTTGAATCTGCTCCCAATGCTAGTTGTAAAACCCTTCTTTGCTCTCTTCTAGCCCTCAGCTCTTACTTTCTCTTTTCCATTCTCTCATTCCTTTCAAACATCCTCTCTAGCTACAGAATCTTCTTCATATCTCTATCATTGACTGACAGTTGTGAAGAAGGTATACTCTTTGTATTGGGTTTACTTCCTAGTGTCTTATGAAACATAATCTCTCCCTTTTAAATAGATTTAAGTTCTCTAAGTTTGATCTTCGGCTATAGAGTTTTTAGCTTTCTTTCCTCCATTTCAAAATATAATTGGTACTACTTTTTATTTTAATATACTATTTTATACACTTATTGATATTTTTTTAATTATATTTCAGGGGTTTTGGGGTTTTGGGGTTTTGGGG